AAAACTAAACCCGGGCGCAAATGAGTTTCGGGACACGCCGCCCTCTGCAGCTGCGGCGACACGTGTGCGGACGCACATGGTCAAACACACGCACACGCACGCACGGGGGGACGGGTGCCTAGAGGGCACACCCCTAGGGGCTGCGGGGGCGGGGCTGCGCGGTGTGGGGCTGCTGTGCTACTAAACTAATCATAAAACAAACAAGTTAGCCTCTGTATTTACGGTGTAATTAACTGTAAATGGACTTTTCATGGCGCGCGGGTCGGGGGCGGCGGCGCCGCGCGGCCGCAGCAGCCCGGGTGGGACCCCCCAGGGGGGAGGTGTGGGGCGCCGCGGGGGCTGGCCCGGCCAGCGCGCCCAGCCTCGCGCGGCGCCCACCCTATCCATAGTCGATTCGGGGCTACTGCTGGGCGCGCGCAGGGGGAACTCAGTTCCGCCATCATGCATATGGCCCTCGGGCCAGTCGAGAGAAGGAACGGACGAGAGAAATATCAAGAGAAAATGGCGAGGGAAACCGAAAATAAAGAGAGAGAGAAACCTACGCGCGCGCTGCTCGCCATCCTGGAGCCGCGGTGCTATATGGCCCCGGGCGCCTTCCCCATCCCTTTCCCTCCCCTCCTCGGCCAGAATTCCCTCACGCCACACAGCGACAGGCTGCTGACTGCCCCCGGCTCGACCAATCATTGCAGCGCGTAAAACTGGCCGTCGAGACCCTCGTCGTCATTGTGCTCCGTAAAGTAGTCTACGGCCATAGGAAGGACCGTGACGACCTCGTCACACAGTGCGGGAACACATTCCGACCGAATCTCCACTGGTTTGGCGCTGCAAAGGTCGATATGGGTGGCTAAGCACTTGATGCTGACCGACAGGTAGCCGACTTGCTGGCTCTTCTGTGGGGTGTGTGGGGCGATCACGTGACCGATGCACTGACTACTGACTGACCGACCGACCAGCTGACCGACTTGCCCCCAAGACAGCTCCACGGAATCCTCCGTCCGGACGTGACGCACGCCGAGGGTGGCGGGGGAGAGGAGGAGGGTAGGGTGTTGCTTGTCCGGGCTCTTTCCGCGCCTCGTCTGCGAGGGGAGTACGCGGTGACGCCGTGCCGCGGGGATGCTCTCGCGTCCTCATTTCTGGCCTCTTACGTCAGTTTACACACATGACGGGTACGCCCCCCCCCCCCCCCCCGGTTTCTCTCTGACTCTCTCTTGGCGCTCTCTCTATGTCTTTCTCTGCAATTCGCACGACGACGACGTCGACTCGGCGCTTACATCTCCATCCTGGCGGCCCTGCCACGACGACGACACGCCTCTTCAAGACCACCCCCACCCCCTTCCCACCCCCTTTTCCTTCTGCCGCCCTCCCTGTAGACGCGTCTTACAACATCATACATTTCGCATGCCAACACCCCCCTCCCCTCCCCCGACACTCGCGTACATTTCAAAACGGACGCACAAACGGGACAGTTTTAATTCCAGCGTCGGCTGAACTGCGGACGGCGGCAGCGCCATTCTGCCTCTACCGTGCCGCCTTGCCGTCTTTGCGTCCCGCCTTCCGAGAATAATTTAAATAAAAATAAAAACATTGCGGATTTTTAAAAACGTCGCAAGCGAGGTGCGAGCGGGCCCTCTCTGTGGAGCGAGGTCCGGAATAAGAGCGGTAGAAGGTTGATGCCTGAAGGGGAGAGTCTGGGCTCGAGGCAGGACTGGAAGGTTGATGCCTGAAGGATGCGCCTGAAGGTAGGAATGCAAGATAAGGTTGATGCTTAGACTTGGAACGTCGAGGAGGCCAGAGAGCAGAGGGAGGCTGGAGGGAGTACTGGAAAATCGGAATGCCTGGAAGGTGGACCTCGTGAGGCACGTCCACGCTAGAGGCAACCCAGTCGGGCCAGCTCCGGCCCGGGCCACTTGACGAATGTTTGCTGCGCGTTCCCAAGTTAGCTGAGTGGGCCATCGAGAGGCAGAAGAGGACGACGGTACGGGGGCCGGGAGAGTGAGGGGAGCAGGGACGGACTGCCCCTGCCCGGGGCAGGGGGTTGGTTGCGCGCGCAGCCAGGCAGCGGCGGGCCAGCAAAACCTGAGGTTGCGCGGGTAGACCTCGGGGTAGACCGAGACGGGAGCGGGCAGAGCATGCCACTAGCAGAGTCCATTCCATTGCACGCGGTTAACATCGCGCTCGCTATGACGGAGATGATCGCGGGCAGCAAGCCCGTCAGGAAGAACTTTGCGCTCCATTTTGCCTCACCTGAGATAACGGCGGACGAAACGGACGAAACCTCCCAAGCTCCCGCTCCGCCCTTTCCCCTCTCATCCCCTTCATTTCGGTCCCTCCCCCAACTCTGGCTCCTGGCGAGCTCCACCTAGCTCCCCTGCCTATCGCTGTTTGGACAACACACACACGCACACAGAGGCAGGCCCACTGTTACGTTTCCCCTTTTACCGCACGAGATTGAGAGAGAACGAAAAGGAGGTGAACAGAAAAAGAGTGTTTACGTTTCCTTTCGATAATATGGTCGTGAGCATCTCCAGAGAGCCTCTACGCGGAAGGTGCGCGCGCGAAGTTCAAAAGACGCCGGGTACCGAGAACCGTGGCACCGTGGCATGCATGGAGCAGTAAATATTTCCGAAATGTGCTTAACGCGAACCCTCGCACGCATGAAGCGAGGCAATTTCATTATTTCATCACTCACCCCCATCTCATCCCCGCACCGGTTCTCAGGATTCTGCTTCTTTTAAAACTAACTTCGCGTTATTAAACCCACCGCAGTAGCGCGCCCAACACTTCCAACACAC